TTCTCTGCTTCCTCTTAATCTCTTGTTTCTTCCCAGGTTTCCGTCCGTTGATTTCTCTCTCGTGCTTTCACTTTGGATATCCGATTGAAGTGGCCAACGAGAGGAGAATGGATGTCTGCGGCGGTTTGCGGTTGAAGATAAGAAAGAATCTTGGTTTGCCAGGGGACAGAGCAAAGGGAAGAGAAGGGGGTAGTCGGCAGCTATCAGAATGGCCCCCTTCCCTCTCATCCTTTCGACTCCTCTCCTCCGTTTCTTCTCCATCTCCTCCTTTCTCAATATTTTAGCGTTAAATTTGAAGATTTTAGGGTCTGGAGACGGTCCCATGAGTGCATCCACGGTGAATGCAGTGGTGGCGCCAAAGCCGTTAGCAAAGGACAGGACGTGGACATGTACATGTAGCGCTGCCCGGAAGCGTAGGAGGGTCAGTATGGCCCCACCAAACCTGCCCATGGAAACCAAGACATTGATTCGAATGAAAAAAGAAAATGATCTTCGGAAAATCTTTTTATATAATTTTTTTAATACAACATTTAAATAATTAATTTTATTTATTTACAATAAAATTTATGATATTAAATGTATTTATTTAATAAAATATAAAATTTATAAATAAAAAATTATTCTTACATGTTCGCCTAATAAAAAAAACTCATTTCATTTTAAATGGAACATTATGTTTAAGTTTTATAAATAGATAAATAAATATTACAACTTTTTTTTTTATAAGTGTAAACTTAATTTAATTTTAAAATAATTAAAATTTAATGTAATTTTTTGATTTAAAAAAAATTTTGCTCAAGGAGAAAATGGGACACGTTAGGGTTTTTCAAAACCAAGTTGCCCTCAAAAGAAACTGAAATGACAAAAAAGCCACCGCCTCTTATCAGTATTATTCTCAGCATTCTAAATCGCGATTGTTATCTATACACGGCGCAACCGCCATCCAGCCCTCCTCTATACTCTCCCCTCCCGAAACCAGATCTCCCCTTACCGGCGCTCGCCGCGGCGACCCTGGACGGCACGTCATCAAGCTGCCGCCCTGTATAGAAGGGAAATTGCTCAGCCCCTTCTCTTCCGTGCTCGTATGTCTCCTTCTGGTAATGGTAAGGTTCCTATTTATCCAATATGTAGTTTCTGCTTCTACATTAGCACGTTATTCAGTTCTTCTGTTTGCTTTCTTTCATGTCATGCTTCTTAGACCAGCAAATACTTCTGTAGAATTGTTTTCGTTTTCGCTGACTTCACCGGTGTATTTTGTATTCACCGTTCTAGGGTTTGATTCAAGATAGGAAACCCTAATTTGATTCAAGATTGGATCACTCGCCTCGCAAGAAGGACTGATTTGAATATTTGTTGGATTTTGTAACTGGCGATTTAGTTTTCCAGGTATACAATCTAAGCTCCATTTATGAGTCTAAACCCTAATTTGAAAACAGAGCAGTTGGTTTAGTTTTGTTCAATTTGTTTTCCAGTTATGGCTGGAAGAGATTTTAGTGATAGTGAGGATGAGGATAGACGGATGAAGAGAGATAGAAGAGAAAGGGATGGTGCTGATAGGCATAGAGAGCGGGAACATGAACGTAGGAACAGAGATAAGGAGCGGCGTTCACATAGATACTCAGATGATGAGGGTGACACAGGTTCTCGTAGAAAAAGGGAACGAGAAAGGGATAGGAATGAGGATGAAAGGTCTCATAGAAAATCAGAACGACATAGGGATAGGGAAGATGGTGACAGGCACAGGCATAGAAGAAAGGATGATAATGGTGATAGAAGCTATGGCCTAGAAAAGGAGAAGAATGGAAGCAGAACAGATGGTCGAAGTATTAAGGAAAAAGATGAAGATGGCAAGGTAGATGGAGTAAAATCTCAGAGACAACCAGCAAATCAGGAGGGTAGCTTAAATGCTGATGCATCAAATTTGGGTCGGAGTGGAGGGGTTTACATTCCCCCATTCAAACTGGCCCGCATGATGAAGGAGGTTCAAGATAAAAGCAGTGCGGAGTATCAAAGATTGACATGGGATGCCCTTCGTAAAAGTATTAATGGACTAGTGAACAAAGTCAATGCTACAAATATTAAAAATATTATTCCTGAGCTGTTTGCTGAGAATCTCATTCGGGGAAGGGGACTCTTCTGCCGATCTTGCATGAAATCGCAGATGGCATCTCCTGGTTTTACAGATGTATTTGCTGCACTGGTAGCAGTTGTGAACACCAAGTTTCCAGAGGTGGGTGAGCTGTTGCTGAGAAGGATAGTTTTGCAGCTTAAGAGAGCATATAAACGAAATGACAAGGTTTGTATTTGCTCCTTATCTACTATTTCAGATGTGATTACCATTAAGTTAGATTACTACTTCTTTCTGTATATCTCCTCACAGTTATTTTCTCTATCGTGTAACAGCCCCAATTACTAGCTGCTGTGAAATTTATAGCACATCTTGTGAACCAACAAGTGGCTCATGAGATTATTGCTTTAGAACTGCTCACTGTTTTGCTTGAGAACCCTACTGATGACAGTGTTGAAGTAGCTGTTGGTTTTGTTACCGAGTGTGGATCAATACTTCAGGAGCTTTCGCCAAAAGGCCTGCATGGTGAGTGCTTTGTTCAACTTATTTTTGGTGTAATGCTTTAGACTGCAGGTTTTTCTTGTTTCTAAAGACTAAGTGACTATAAACTGCATGTTTTTTAATGTTAACTTGTAAGTGGTTTGCATCACCTTATTTGACATGAGAATTTCTTTACTGGTCAACTGATTTTGTTTCTTTTTCCTTTCCCTCTTACACCCTGATTATTGGATTACAGGTATTTTTGAGCGTTTTCGAGGAATTCTTCATGAGGGAGAAATAGATAAAAGGGTGCAATTCTTGATTGAAGGCCTATTTGCTATAAGAAAAGCAAAATTTCAGGGGTACCCAGCTGTGCGTCCTGAATTGGACCTAGTAGAGGCAGAAGAACAATTCACTCATGAAATTTCTCTCCAAGAGGAGATAGATCCAGAGATTGCCCTTGGTATGTCTTATGTTGCCTCCAGTTACTTGGTTGTTTGTTCCTGGTTGAATGTGATTTTTAATGCTTTCAATTGTCCTTGTGCAGATATATTCAAACCAGATCCAAATTTCCCCGAGAATGAAAAGCGCTATGAAGAACTAAAGAAAAACATTCTTGGGGAGGAGTCTGAGGATGAAGAAGGGTCTGGTTCAGGTTCAGATGATGAGGATGGTGATGATGAGGATGAAGATGAGGATGATGAAGAGGAAGAACAGAAGATGAGAATAAAAGATGAGACGGAGACAAATCTGGTTAATCTCCGAAGGACAATCTACCTCACAATCATGTCCAGTGTAGATTTTGAGGAGGCTGGCCATAAGCTTCTCAAAATTAAGCTTGAGCCAGGCCAAGAGGTAAGTGAGAAACTATGTTCCTTACACTTGTTATAGCTTAAATAGAGGTTTGTTGTTGAACTATTTTTCTTTCATTCTATGCTCTGATGGTGGTTTTTATTTTTCGCTTCTTGCTGAAAGAAATTTAGTATTTATCTCAAACATAAAAGTTATTGTCTATAACTTTATGTTCTAAAACTTTTTGTTTGGATTTTTGTAGATGGAGTTGTGCATCATGCTCTTGGAGTGCTGCTCTCAAGAGAGGACTTACCTTCGCTACTACGGCCTGTTAGGCCAAAGGTTTTGTCTTATTAACAAAGTACACCAAGAGAACTTTGAAAAATGCTTTGTCCAGCAATATTCAATGATTCACAGGCTTGAAACAAACAAATTACGCAATGTGGCAAAATTTTTTGCTCATTTGCTTGGCACAGATGCTCTGCCCTGGCATGTTTTGGCTTACATACGCCTAACTGAGGAGGACACAACTTCATCTTCCCGTATATTTATCAAGATTCTGTTTCAGGAACTGTCAGAGCATCTTGGTATCCGGAAACTTAATGAACGGCTCTCTGATCCTACAATGCAGGAGTCATTTGAATCAATCTTCCCAAGAGACAACCCGAAGAATACAAGGTTTGCCATCAACTTTTTCACTTCCATTGGTCTTGGTGGTATTACAGAGAATCTGCGTGAGTATTTGAAGAACATGCCTCGGCTCATCATGCAACAACAGAAAGCTGTATCAGAATCGGAGTCAGATGATTCACCTGATTCAGAGTCTGAGTCTGAGTCAGAATCAGAGCCTAGTTCAAATTCTGATTCATCAGAAAGTGAAGAGAAGAGTAGAAAGAAGAAGAGGAGAGTCTGAGTCAGAATCAGAGCCTAGTTCAGATTTTGATTCAAGGGAAAGTGAAGAAGAGTAGAAAGAAGAGGAGATGATACATGCATGCTGAAGACTGGGATTGAACAGAGGCACTGATAAATTTGAACCAGGTGATGAGAGATCTTCACAGACCAATGTTTTCGAATGTTTGATGTTGGTGAACAGTGCACGTTTGGTGTAAGAAAACAGGCTTGGTGTTTTTTGCTTTTACTCTTTTCTTTTTATTTTTTATCTTTTTTTGAAACAGAACCAAATTCCAAGGGAGAAATGGGGAAGCGGTAGCCTCTGGAAATTGAACCCAAGACAGGAGGCTGGGGCTGATCACTGGGTAAGTGGCACATGGACACTTGAGCCGTTAGATGGCCTGCATTTTTTTAGCATTTTCAAGCAGTATTTTAGAAATGCTATAGTCATATGCTATTCAATGTTGCCCATGTTGCTTGGAATCTCCTAGTGTTCTGCAAATTAACAAGCAAGAAAACGGAACGACATTAGGAAGCTCATTGTTTCCTCAGCAATCCACAAAGATGATAGGACACGGTATATTTCCCCCGGTTGCTTTCATCTACTGTAGTTTCTCGACAAAGATACCATAATCTGTTCGGACAGCTACGTGCCTTCAGCGCATCCTCTCTCTCTCTCTTATCCCCACTGCTTCTGCTTCTTTCTTCCCGCCAATCTCATTCTCAGAAATCAATCTCATTTTGGCCCATTCAAGAAAAACCATTTTCTTTTTCTAACCTTTTTTGGGTCTTCTTCTGTTTCGGCATTAAATTAAACATCTACTGCCAATCTGTTAGAAACCAAGAGACAGACCAACTCACCCAAAGTAACCAGAGGTCTAATCTGTATCTCATGTGACGCAACATCACGCCAGATGTAACAAACAACACCGGGTCAAATGCGTAAACAAGTTAGGGCTAGTTGACTTCTTAATTATTAAGGGTGTTGGGGACTTGGGATCCCAATTGATCATGAAATCTTTGTCTTTCTGCCATCTAATTTTATTGGCTTATTAGATCACTCCAGATATGCATAGAGGGTGTTTGGTAAAAACTTATTACGATTTAAGACACCGTAATTTTTAGTGTCGAACAGATATCATGATGCCACTACTCCGTTGAAGAATACATAAAACAGGATGGCTTTTTCTGTTTTCATTTTATTTATTCT